ATTAATGATTTTTTTATTTAATATTAAGATAAAATACAAAGTTAAAAAAATTCCAAAAATATATGACTCATACTGTAAATACAATTAACAAATATATAAAAGCACTCAATAACATGATAAACCAACTAGCACAAATCAAATTATCTCTATTAAACTATCAATCTATAACTATATATACAGATGAATCATTTAATATACAAAAACAAATGGGCTTTGCATGGTATATATCCAACTGCCCTTAAGCAAATTTTCAAGATAGAAATATATTCTTTCCTTTATTAACTAGAGCAGAACTTGCAGCAATTACTACAGCCCTAATTACAATTTCAGCAGGAAGAGACATAACAATATGTAATGACAGTCAAGCAGCAATAGCAGCAATATACAAGGCAACCATCAATCTCAAACATCTCAGAACATTACAAAACAGCAATATCATCAATACTATTGCTATTATAATATATAATCAAAAACTAAAAATAAAATAAAACAAAGTAAAGGCACATAACAATGATCTTAACAATGACAAAGCAGACTGGATGGCCAAAGAGGCTTGCCACAAACCAGAAAATTACATTGATTTCAAATCAGTTAATTACTAACAAATGAATTGGATACCAAAATGAAAGGAACATATTCTTGACAATATCATAACAACAATAATCAAAAACATAATCCATACAAAATATGTAATAAACTGGAGAATTCTAAACCATAATATAAATATTCTAGATCAACATTCAGTTAATCAGATAATCTGGATATCAATATTTAAACTCAAACAACCCTCCCAACTAACATCAAGAAACACAAATTAGCAAGACCACAATACTAGAAGCTTTTACTAAAATTATAGAATTTAAAACTTCTCTTCAAAGACAAGTTATATAAACGATTTTCCACAGTCTATATAGATGACATATGTCCAAGATGCAAAAAAGCTACAGAAACCAATACACATATCATGATCTTTGACAGCAACCAAACAAACAATACAAAACTAATCAAACAAATAATCAACGAAGAAATTGCAGCAAGAGTAAAAAAATCAACAGGTTCAAAACTGTATTACAAAATCATTTAACATATTTAAATTTTTTTTTTTTTTTTTTTTGTATTGCGAGTAAGCTTTACTCTAATTTATTAGAAGTGCTGTAAACAACATACATAGTACATTTCTGTCTACACTTACAACTATCACAATTAGAATTCACCCACAGGTATACCATCCGGGTGCAGCCTACCTTAATGTATTGCTGTCTCAAGATTACCGCAATACATCCTATTGATTTTTAAACTAGATATTCTATTTGACACTGTGCGAAATTAAGGGGAGTTTGAATTTTGGGGCACTGGGGGTAGTACCTATATTTGGCGAATAGAACACTACCTAGTTAACCTTCCAGATCCGACCACCTGCAACTGGATGCACTGATTTCCATTTAATTTCCATCTCCCCTCAAGCTATCCAAGAACGTCCAAGGAACTTATATCACCAGATCTTACTGCCCATTTAGGTATCCATAAGGTTACCTAGCGGTCTTACTGCTGGGCCGCCTTCTCGGGATAAGTAACCATCAGAGTGATTTATTACTGGATTGGAATAGGACCTTTCTGGCTATCTTTGTAGGAAGAGACACCAGGTATCACGGAGAAATGATAACCAAGCCATCTTTACCGAAAGCAGACACCTCATACTCCTTACAACTTCCGGCGATCATCATAACACCAACCGGACGATTGTCGCGCCACGACGCCTTTTCTGGAAATCACAATCTCAAAGCCTACTGGATTAATGTGTGACACAGCTTTTTCTATAAGAAATGGTGCTTTTTACAGGTTATGGCGTCAGATACCATATTAATTCTATTCAACCGCCCTTACATGGGGTTGAACTGGTATCTTGTGATTTGACCTGTGGAGTGTTAACCACTACACTACAGACCTACAGGTTCACCTGGAGCTCGAATGAGATGTGTTGGGTAATTATTTAAATATTCAAAAACTTTTGGTAAATACTTAACCTATGTCCTTATCAATTTAGAATCTGAGGATATACTTTCGATGGCAGATTGTATCTTGTACAACATTTCAGCTAAAGTTTTATTGAAGCATTCTACAAGAGCTAATCCACAATGACTATAAGCACCAATTACTTGAATTGTGACATTATGCGCTTCTATTAATCAAGCAGTTTCACCGATGAATTCTTTATCACCGTCACATTGTAGAAGTGTCAGGTACATAAGAGGGTTATTGGGATTATCATAAATTTTCTTAAATGCTTTAGCAACTTCAGAACTTTTCTTTGATGTTAGAGGAACAGTCACTTTGAATCTGCTAGATATGTCTATAATCTGTAATACTGCTTTCCATGTCTTCACCTTATATTTATCATGCATAAGAAATAAAAGGTCACACTGATGTACACAATTTGGTTTTTGAATTTTATTATAACTAACTTGTGAAATATCTTTTGGTGATGGAGCATATTTTTGTCATTCATTTTGGTTATGTAACCATTCCCAAACTTTTTTATATAAAAAATTATATCCTTTCTTCTTGAGATCTTTATATAATTTTTGAGTATTGGAATGGTAACCAGTGAGTTGATAAAAAAACAATTTACATATTAAGTTTAATTCTTCATATGGGTCGATTTTAATAATAGGCTTGCTTAATTTACTCATCTTCAATATTACTTATTATATTATAAACTAGAATAAATTTCGATAACCTCTCTTGAAACACAAATTCGAAAATTGGAATATAAATTGTCTCAGGCCAAGGATTATATTTTATTTCTTGAAAAACAGATTACTGGTTGGAATAATGAAATTGAAATTTTTAAATCAGAAAATACGAATCTTAAAAAACGCCTCAAACAGGTATTACAAAATGTTAGGTGTAAGAAAAAATAATATTTTTCTTAAGTCACAATTACTAGAAATGAGTAATAAAATATTTTCACTTCAACATAGAATCCAACAATTACACCAAAATATTCAAATGTCAAGTAATATAGCCAGTGGTTCCGAAACAATTCCTATATTATTGATTAAGATTCGAAATAATTTCAAATATTTAGCTAATTGTTATAGAGGAAATGGTGACCCATTACTTTCTGATGAAATTGATAATCTTCAAACACAAACCGAATTGAGAATAGCTCAAATCAAAAATAAATATAACTATGAGATTGGTTGCCTAAGAGAAGGTATTATTGAAGAAAATGAAACCCGTCTATTTGTTCAACAACAAACTATAAATAAGCAAGTAGATATAATCCAAAATCAACAGAATTTTTCCAATGAATTGGCAGAAAAAAATCAGATCATTCAAGACCAGTTAGATTTATATCATACCGAAAATTATAGATTAACAGAATCCATAATTGATATTCAAAGGGAATTATTGGAAACTCAGCAAAACATTGAAAACCAGTCAATAGATTATGTAGAAGTATCTGAAAATTTTGTAAAACTGGAAAATGAATATAACAAGTTAAAAGAGTGCTTGCGTATTTTAGGTTTAACATATGTTGGAGCCAGATACAGAGCTTTAAATAATTTTTGATGGATTTATTGACGATATACTATTTATAGAAATAGAGCATATCAAGCCAAAAGAGATTTACAAGAAGTCATGCTAATGAGGCTATGTTAGAATATTGACGTGACCAACTTATAGCCAGATATCAGAAGTGGAAAAATAAAAGCACTATTATGAGATCTCGTGAATTATATGGGCGATTAACCATCTGAGCACAAAAAAGACATAATGTTACATTATTGACAGTAAAATTTGCACAATGTCAATTAATTTTGAATTTACAAGCCCAAATTTTATTACTACAGAATAATTTATCTATAAATCCATCTCAAATACAAATATCGAATATGATAAGAAATGGTCCACCTCTTTTTACTGGAAAAGCTGGAGAAGATCCATCAGATTGGGTCTTAGAATTCAAGAGATTTGTAATTGCATCTCAAATAAATATTATAGCTGATGCAGGAGGAGTTGTTGGTAGAGCAGAAGCATATAATTTAGCTATATCATGTATAATTGGTGAAGCAAAAACCTGGTTTGAGAATAAAATCAAAAATAGAAATTGGCAATGTGATAATATTCTTGATGGTACTGGCGTGAACACCTTAAATGCAATTTGATTATTAAATAATGGAGGCTTAATAGGTATTAATGCAAATCAGTTTCTTGGAGAAGCATTAGTTGTAAGAAATAATGTTGGAAGTGATAATACAATAACTGGTGCTAATATTATTCCAGTGGGTACATGGGATGAAGATTGGAGTATAGCTGGAGGGCATCCTGCACCTATAGAAACTCTATCTCCAGCCAATTATGCAAATGCTGGTGCAGATAATTCAATTGTTGCACTGGAAATGACTTTTGGACAATTTTTATACTGCCTTGAATATCTTTATCCCATGGTTGAAGCACAAAAAAATTTGCTTTTCTTTGGTCAGATTGTGCAAGGAGATATGTCAATACTCGAGTATAATGTCAAGATATCAAAACTCAGAAAACTTGCTGGATTACCAGAATCAAAAATGAGAGAGCAATATATTTGGGGATTAAATCCTATGAATTAATACAATGTTCGAATAATGGCTAAATACCATAATACTAGAGATAATATTACAAAAGCATTAGTTGAAGCAGAAAAATTTTCACTACTACAAGGCAATTTTCCATTCCCACCTTCTGGAGGTCAAGTGCCTAATTCCTATGAAAAAAGTAACAATACAGGTATGACCAAAGATGAAATAGAAAACTATATAAAATCTATTATGGCATCCATACAAGCTCAACCGGTCTCACAAACTATCTCTTCTAAATCTCAGGAGAACCAAATTACACTTTCACAAGACAATTTCAAAAAAATTATAGCAAGTTTGAAAGGAACTATTGCTAAAGGACAGCAAACTTTGAAGAAACCTCCTGGACCAGGAAAACGAAAAGCTGATGATCTTGCCATAAACCATTTTTTAGATAATGTTATCAATGACACAGATTTACTAGAAGAAGCTTATGACTATGATCCCATTGAAGATTTGAAAAAGCAATTCAAGGATTTGGATATCAATCAAGCAAAACTAGCTCAAATAATACATACAGTTTTAAAATCTTCTCACAAATGTTCAAAGTGTAGTAAAACAAGTCATAATTCCTACAACTGTCCTAAAAATAAAAAAAAGAGCAAGTCTAGACGTTTTAACAAAAGCAGATCCAAGAAAAAATGTAAGATTAATATAGCTACTAAAGATTCAGATTCTGAGTCTGATACTAGCTCTTCTGATAATAAATCTAATTCCAACTCAGACTCTGGATCAAGTTCTGGTTCTAAATCGGAATCTGATTCTAAAAATGACTTTACTAAAGATGACATTGTGAAAATTATAAATGCTGTTAAATCAAAAAAAAAGTAAAGCTAAAGAATAAATTATTCTCTAAAAAGAAGTCTACTTCAAAGAAAAGGCAGAGTCTCGAATCTCTGATTTAACATACTTCACAAAAGAAATCAGGTACGATTATCAATTCACAAATTCGAGAAATTATTCTAGCTATGTTTAATAATCCAGAGGTTATAGAAATGATTAAAAAAAATATTAATAACACAAATTTATCTGTTACAAGACCTGATTTTACAAATTATTGAGATCCAGTTTCAGAAATACAGGAGTCTGATAGGGAAGATGAAATATTGAATGATTCTATGGAGATAGACTTCGTCCACTGGAAAGAACCTACCACAAGCCTTGCAACTATACCATGTAAAATCAAACACTTAAAAATTCCAGCATTGGTATTTGATAGTGGAGCTGAGTCACCAATTACGTCAGAAGATATTGTTAAACATGTAAATTGGCCAATTAATAAATCTGAAAAATATAATCTTAGCGGTGTTGCAACAGTTTCAATAGAATCTATTGGCATTGCTCGTAATTTCCCAATAACATTCCCTTCAGGTTTTACTATATGTGAAGATTTTATAGTTGTATGTGTTCCTAAACCAACATTGATATTCCCAAACCCACTTCTCAAGAAATATAAATATGCTATAGATTGGGGTAAAGATGAGTTGAAAATTCCTTTCAATGGAAAGGATTACATTATTCCAGTTACTATGCACAAAGTCAAAAATAAACTTGAAGTAAATTGTGCTACCACATCTCAGAATGATAAGTCTTTAGTATCTGATCAAATTTCCCAAAATATAGATGGTAGTGAGGATGACAATATACTGCTGGCTTTAACCTAGATTCTGACAATTCAACTTTAAAAAAAAACACATGAACTATAAGGAGTTAGAAAAAACACTATATATTGCTCTCAAGTCTAAGGCTGAAATAAATGATCTTTGTGAAAAGTTGCAAATATGTTATAGAAAGCTACTTAAATATATCACCTCCAGAGATGATAATATAAATAAAGAAAAGATAGATCTATGTAGTAGCTAATAGGTGAGTTATATTTGCTTTATTTTTCTCATCTCTTCTGGCTTTTTTTTCATATAATGCACCCAGATCCTCACAATTTATTTTTTCCGTCTCATTAAATATAGATACTATTAGGGCTCCTAACGATACCACTTCGATACCAGTTCGATACTTAAATTTACTATAAAAACATATGAATAGGTTACAACCTATATATTAAATTTACTATAGATCGGTACCATTTCGATACCAGTTCGGTACTTTTTCGGAGCCCTAGATACTACTGCATTAGAGCTATTAATAGATATTGGATCAGATATATGAACGGATTTAGACCGAGATTTGGAACTTCTCTTTTTTATTTCTATATTAAGAGGAGTAGTAGATTCTGTATATAAAGTCTCTCTTCTGATTGATTAAAATTTTCAGATGGAGTTGATGAGACTAGTCTAGATATAGGTAATATTTCATTGGAAATGGTACTTTGTATTATTTGTTGTTGGCGCTCTCGATCTTCCCATATATCATCTACTCGATGTTTATTAATATGGAAATTTCTCATAATTTTATATTTAGGTACCTTACCTTTGAGTGATCTAATTGTTTCTATCTGCTCAGAAGTTAGATATATAGATTTTCCACGATAATATAATTTTAAAAATGGTATATTCATGGTCTGATTTTTACCGAATATTCAGAACGATATTTAATATTTTTAAATAATAAAAAACGATATCTATTATTACGGTATAATAAAAAATAATATTTATTGTTATAGATTAATAAGAAATATTACACTACCTTCTTGTATATATACTTAAAGCTACATATATAGAATCTATTTTCGAATATATGAGAAAAAATGGTATCTAATATAATTTTTTAATAGTCTATGATGTTTAACATTAAATATCATTAAATAATAATAGAAATTATTAATGAAACTAGCTTTATTATTTGTATATTATTTATTCTTAATATGGCTAATGTTCATACATTACAAAATATTAAAGGTCATCGACTTGATAGTATACGTGAGCAAGAGCTGGAAGAAAAATTATATATTGCTCTCAAATACAAGACCGAAATCAATGACCTTAGCAAGAAATTACAAGATAAATATTCTAAGCAAATGAAGGAGTTTGATTGGAAGAGAAAAGGCTGGAACTAGGAAAGAAAACAATGGGAGGATATATTTAGTAATGTTAATAGCGATAAACAAAAGTTATATACCCACACTTTAGAACTTATTAGTGAGACCAGGCAATTAAAAATCGAAAATACTAGTCTTATCTCTGAGAATATCTGTAAAGATCTTTATCTTGCCGAATCTAAGGCTGGGAATATTACAAAATCCAAGAAAATCAAATCACTTGAGTCTATTATCAAGATATTGGAAGGTAAGTTGTCTTCGGCCCAGAAAGATATGGTTTCGATTCAAAATGACTCATTGAAAAAAGAATCTGAGATATTATCCCTTAAGTCTAAAATAGCTGAATTAGAACAAATAAAACATGAACTAACCTCTGAAGTTAGTGAGTTGGAGCATCTAAAATTGGAAAATATATCAAAACCTATAATTGGTAGTGATGATGAAAAAAATATACAAGGCAGTAAACAGACTTTCCTATCGAATTCTGATGAAATAGCTGTGATTAGTGAACCTAATAATCTTAGTAAATATTTAGTATGCAGAAAAAATATGGATCCAGGCCCTTTAGGGGCAACTCTTCGAGTTATAGAGAAAATTGATGGTGATGTCGAGACATATATCAGGCCTTTAGGCACCTCAAAGAGGCATGATGAGATTATTGAACTATCAAAAAATAATACCAAGATCAACTCTAAGAAAAGTGATGAAATCGATATTAGTAAAACTAACAATATACTTCAAGAAATACCAAATATGACTCCTTACCTTACACCGCCAAAAAATTATGGGCTCTGCCCAGTGTCAAAGACACATACTTCCTCTTTGATGTCATTGCTATCAGCATATATATTTCTTACTCTGTTAATTATTGCAGTTATTGTTATATTGAGACACACATGGAATATAAGTAAAAAAAGTGATTGGTTATGGGATATATTGGCCAGATATTAGGAACTTCTATTTAAACTTCAATATTATTTATGTACAAAAAAATACTATTAATGATATATAAATGATAGTGATATAAAGAATATATTTATAATAAGTTCATTGCTTTATTTCACGTATTTAGAAAATCATCAAGTGTCATTTGATTAACTTTTATTATATCAAATAAGATAGGTTGCTTGGTAATAATCTCTTTTTTTCTCATAGTCCTGGGTTGGCCAATTTTATCTGGGATTGTTATATGCTCTTTATATTGCATATAATATACTAACTTATGAAAGAAAACATCATATTTCTCAATAATTGGGATAAGTACATTTAGATGTTTCATAAAATCAAAGCATATGGATTTTTTTATCCCTTCACTTATCAAGAGATTATCATTTTCAGTATATGCTCTAGCATACTCTACAAACCTTTCCCATAATCTCTCAACAGTATTAATCACCTTAAAATTCTCAATCTCCATAAAATATCTCATACACATCACCTATTTTTTGATATAATATAGCTTGTACAGTCTTGACTGCATTCTTGTAGGCACGTTTATAAGCATATCCATGATTAGATATTATTTTAAAATCGATTCCATTTATTTCCTTAATAAATGATTCTAGCCATTTCTTGGCTTTTTCTTGAGCATAACTATCGATCTGTTTATATTTTTCGTCCAAGTTCATAATTTTCATGATTTTGTCAGTAGATGGTGGTTCGTATTTCTTATCATATATAATAAATCGGGCACAAAGTGCAGTAATAACATTTTCGAAATAATGAGATAAATCTATATGCCTACCTTCTTCCTTAACAATATCTACAAATTCCATCTGATCCGATTTTCCTAGCTTAAGCTTTTTACCAATTAAATCAAAGATTCTACCAAGTTGAACAATCACATAACTAAAATGTTCTCCTGGATCTGGAATCTTATTTTCATATTTATTTCTCATCCGTTTTATAAAATATTGAACACGTATATTATTTTTATTAGGCTTCCATATAGCAGTCTCTATAAATTGATCGAAATTCTATTGTCCGGGGTTAGTTATGGTCTCTTTAAGAACATCTTCAACAATTTTATAAAGAAAACATGTATTATTGATATCCATTGCACCCCACATAATTCATTCTCCTATAGTTTTAAAAAGCTGCAACTTACCTTGTTTTATAGTATCAATACTTTTAATAAAAAGTTTTTCTGACTCAAAATTTACTTTTTTTTTATGAGATATTTCAAAATATTTTTTCTTACCAGTAAAACAAATCGGAAATAATATTTCCTCATAGGCTATTTTAAGATAATTTGAACCAGTTCTTAATTTGAGAAAAGTATTTACCTTATCACGTAATTTCTTTATTACATTCATAGTAATTTCAACCATTTTTGTCCAATACTCTAACATTGAAATTACACCTTTACCATTATCATAAGCAAGATCGCATTCTTTATAATAATTATTGGGGGTTTAAGATACAAAGAGTCAGTATCACCATATTTGATTTCGAAACCTTTCTTAGTTATGTATTCTGCAACGAGCTTGATGGCATGCTGTTCTACTGTTGTAACACCTCCAGCTAATGCTTGAAGAAAGAATGGAGATTTGCTATTTCCAGCTTCGCCATAAAAGGTATTCATAAAAACCTTAACAGCTTTCTGTTTTTGAGTCCAAACAATTATAATCAAAACATATAGAATTATACTCTGAGTTTAAACTGTTTGAAACATTTTTACCTTTTTTCTCTATTAAACTTATTAATTTTCTGAGTTGTTGTTTTTTCTCACCCAATATGGCAAGTTTTGATTTGAGCTCTACTTGCTTATTTAAGAGATCCACTAACACATTAGGATATAACCCTTTTTTTTCAGATTGATTATTATAACGGACACACCAAGCATTGAGTATACGATTATTGAATGGAAATTTAATATTATATAGGTCGCATCCCTTAGCACGTACAATATTGGTCTCTTCATAATTTAATATTATTTTTTTGGGAGAGAGATTATATGTTATCATAAGGCTGGGATATAGGGATGCAAAATCTAAACCTGTTACGGGCCTTTTAGACTCAATACTTTTCTTATGTGGAAAAATGTATACACCCCTATACTTTCCTTTTTCTATATTTTTACATACTCTTGTATTAAATACTATACATGTGACGTAAATTATTTTGCTGTTGACTCAATTTCCAAAATCCTCAAAAATAATTGTGTCATGACTCAATTATTTATATGTTTTAATAGTGACTCAATTAATTGTGTCAAATAATTGCGTCAATTGCATCAAGGATCTACGAATTTCAGCAACATGTATACTAAATATTATATTATGCTTGAAAACATAAGCTCCTAGGAGGTTTCATACATTCATCCCATTTGCATGATAGTGCAAGTCAAATAAAGAAATATAGGCAATCGAAACAACCTCCCTATACTCATTGATTACATTACATATAACCATAAGTTCTTGACAACTTAAAACATCTTTAATACAATATTCAACAACTTTATGTATTTCATCCAATTTTATAGTTTCATAGATTTTGTTCATAACACTTATCGGCATATTAACTTTACTTCCGAGACCATATTTTCCTAGATAGAAATTGAGTGAACTAGCCCTTTCAACTTCTGATCGAGAATAAAGTTTCATGAAAGATACGCGAACATCGATTGGAATACATCCCGGTATCTTTAGAAAGGAAAAATCAAAATCTAGTTGTGTATCAATTTTAATTTTAATAAACTTTTGCCTAAATTTCTTCACTTCATACTTATCATCATATTCATACTCATCTTCTTGCATATTCGATTCACTGAAATTAGATTTGATGTGAAAAGTATTGTTTGTATTTTCACCTATCTTTCCATAATAATCATAACGTAAAATATCTTCATCTGTTTTTTGATATAAACCTCCTGACATTTGTTTCCACATCCATCCAAGGATATTTAATTTCCTAACCTTCTCTATAATAAAAGGCCAATTGTAACCAGAATCATTAAATTCGAGTTGAATATCAGGTGTAAAGGCTTGTAAGCAAAGAGCAAAGGCTTTTAATATGTTAATCTGATTGCCACAAATTATTGTAATCCGATCTGGATCTGGTACTGTTTCAATATCAACAAGACAAATTTTTTGTAATGGTTTAGGATTGTCTTTCCAATGTAAAGTCATGCAAATCATAAAAATGTTATCCTTATTATATTTTGCTAAAGGTAGTTCACCCGATTTACGTGCACTATATGTCTCAATATCCCAAGTAAGTATAAGTGTACGGTCTTGTATAAATATAGAAATAGGATAGCGGGTATTTAACACTGTAAGGTCTTCCACTCAATGGAAATTCTTTGTAGATACATGAAATGCATATGGACAAAGTTTTGAATTTTTATCATAAGTATAATTACTTATTATTGACTATCCAGATAACAAGAAACTATATTCACGAGCTACTTTGCAATAGTATGCACTTGTGTCATTGGAAGCTATAATATATTTATTTTTATGTATAAGTTTTATAGCAACCTTTCTTTCCTCAGTAGTAGTTGTAAAAATTCGCAAGTATGATTTCTTATTTATATTATATCCAATAAATGGAAAAGCTTTAATATGTTTGATTTTGAATATTCCTACAATATCAGAAAGCATATCCTTTATTTTTATTTCGAATGCATTTGGGCATTTGCCCTCTGGCACAAGAATATCAAAGAATACTTGAATACCTTTTATTGTTACTACAGCTTTTTGTCCATTAATTAAGGGGCCATATAAATATAACACATAAAAAGAAATCCCTTTAATCTTTTCTGTGGATTCTTTCACATTAACGGCCATAAATGGAATATCTTTCCCTTTAGATAATGCCAGTTCAAGAATTGTTGTTATTTCATTATTATACTTAGTAACAAGTTCATCACAAGTCAGAATACCTTTCAAACAATCGCCACCAAAATAGTAGAATATATTTTAAAGTAATTGTTCTGCCTTTTTATTTTTCAAAATTTGTGATTGAGAAAATGCTTTAAACTCCTGGTGGTAGAACGCCCCATTATTTTCTTCTTCTATTTCCGACTTGAAATATTTTGAGTTTTTTGGATTCTCTGGTCAATAAGATGGTGCTTCTGCCATCGCTGGCACGTGATCGATGTTTTCTTTGAAATTTTGGGTACTTATGGTAACTAAGGATATTTTGAAATTCTAATATATTATTCTGAGAAAAAAGTTTAATTTGAAATTATTAATTAATTAGTTTTATCTAACATAGTATTACTAACAATTTTCAAAAATAATAATTAGAAATGACTGGTATTTATCTTTGCCAGTATCTTTCCAATAAAAGGAAGGTCTGTGGACATCCCTGCTATCGACAAAAAGGGTGTACTATTCATTGGAAAAGATACCAACATGTTCCCTGTTTAGAATGTGATAAACCGATTGCCTCTGAATATAGCTTATATAATTTGCATGCGGATAAATGTTATGTTAAAGCTTACTACTATTGGAAGAAACTGAAGAAGATAGCACAAAACAGTACTAGGGTGATAGAAAAAAATACATAGTAAGTTTACAGGTATAGTTTATAAATGTTATTGAAAATTTTTAGTGACAGATAAAAAAATTTTTTAGAGATGGAAATTCTATCAAATTCCATGCTTTTGAGCTTCTAGAAAGCTTTCTAGATATCTGTCACCAAAGTTACCAAAAAAAAACAAACATTTCACTTTTTTTTTCTTTTTTATATATAGTATATAATATATATATGTATAGAGTATATCATAAGTATATATGTATCTTATATATATCGGCAATATGTATTGGATATACCATAAGGTAGAGTTTTATTTTTTCTTAAATTTTTACTTTATTTTTAGTGACTTTGGTGACAATATAGAAGAATATAATATAATAATATTTAAACAGTAAATTCGATATAAAACCCGTCACTAAAGTTGTCACCAAAAATTTTTCAGTGACAGATAATATAGCCAATAATAATGTATATAACATACTCAATAACATATTCGGATAACAAAATCTGATAGCATATTCAATAGCAGGAATATAGCATATACTAATAGTATTAATCAATAGTAAAGTCCAATAGTAGGAATATAGCATATTCAGTAGTAATAGATAACATTAGATTTATTCATAGTAAGTTTACAGGTAATGTTATTAAATTTAGGTTTCTAAAGAAATTCGAACTCGATATAGGAGCAGATATTGATTACTTTTGAATGTGGCCAAAATTATGAGATCGACCACTTTTGAATGTGGCCAAAATTATAATATAAACCACGTCATAACTTACCTCGGAGGGCATTTTAGTTTTAAAATCAACTGCAATCACCAAATTAATATACATTGCATTATATGTGATCTAATGATAGAAATCGGCCATACACTAATATGGCCAAAATTATGAAATCGGCCACAGACTAATGTGGCCAAAATTATGAAATCGGCTATAGACTAATATGGCCAAAATTATGATATAGACCATGTCATAACCTAAGCTAAGTGGGAATAATATAATTATATTATTTCCACTTGGATGAAATAAATAATAGTGGTGAAACAATTATTATTAGTGTTAATATTTTATTAAAAAATTTAAAAATTATTTATATATTTTTACTTTAATAAAAAAAGACAAAAAAAGAATTAAGATTAGTAAATAGTCTTGAAAATTTTGTTAGAAAAAAAATTGATTTAATGTAACAAACTTATGTAAATATGTATTTTAATTAGAAATAATATTTATATATATTAATATATATAAAATATAATAAAATATAATTTTTTTTTTACTTTTTTAAATGTACAATTATGGCCAGTCCCAAGAGATATGTATTTAAAAAGAGTTTTTTGTATATTTAAAATAAAAAAAATATTTTTCTTTTAATACAAATTAAAATTTTTATAATTAAATTATTAAAATTATAATAATTAAAGTTATTTTTTACAAATAATTATATAAAATTGCTTAAAAAATTTTTTAAATTTGTTTAAAATCAATTTTTATTTAAAAAAATTATTTTAAAAATTAAAAATTTTCTTATAATTTTTTTTTTAAAGAGTAAATAATTATTATTCTTTTTATTTTATTTTAATTTTTAATTTATAATTACAAAATTATAATAAACTTAATAACATAATATATATATTTCATTATTAAAAAAAGTTAAATATAAGACTTAAAATTATAATTCAATTCTTATACTTCTTGATATTATTTAAGAATATAGAAAAAAGAAATTCAAAACCTATATTATACTTTGAGTAGTATCTAGTTATCTAGAAATAAATAATTGTCAAATCATATAAAGGTACTATAGTTACTTTATACAAGTTGGTTTTCAAATCAAAATAAGAATTATATTATAGCAGTATTTAATTTTATATTATAAGAAAAAATTTTTAAGTACTTATAAGATGAAAATATATTAATTTTTAAAAAAATTCTTTATTTATTCTAAAAAATAATTTTTAATATAATATTATAATTTATTTGTAAAAATTTGAATTTAATTGGAATTATAAAAATCGAATTATAAAAAAAATATTTTTTTGTATATAAATTAACATTGTATATATATAAAAATACAAAAAATATAAAAGTGACAAAAAGTATATAAAATAAAAAAAGATTATAATCTGTTGTATTTAATAAGTAGAGTTAATTAAAAACATTTTTTTATAACATAATAAAAATTTCTTTTTAACAATATAAAAATTTAATATTTATGCAAAGTTACCACATAGAATTATATAATATATAATATTAATATATAAAAAATTAAAATAGTTTAACCAAACTTCCAAGTATTAAAATAGGTTAAATAATTTTTTCACATCTTTTGATAGACCAAAGGTCTTATGTAATGTATAAAGGATTCATTTTTCAGAATAAAAGGAAATAGTATAATGATACAGTGGTTGTAATTGTGATATCACCAATAAAGCGATGATATTACCTGATTAACCAAGCTTTGCTAAATGCACCGTATTTCGCGGCGTAAAAGCATGTGGTGAAAATATGATTCCCCTGGGTAACGGATATACGGGAACATGGTGTGAAACCAAATTTATTTTTTCTTACATAACATAATCGCGTCACAGGGTGCTCTTTACAAGTCGAAAAGTGGGCAATAGTAGTTAGTCTCTGGTATGGTGATACTATTACTAATCGTCAAAAATTAGAATATACTGAAAAAAGAATATACAACATCACCGAACTTTAAATTACAACAAACTTTAAGCATGTAATCGGTGAGAAACATTAAGGGTGCATTGTTGCGACACGAATGGAATACGAGAAAATTTCCTCGAGGCTTTACCAGAGTGAATTCCACGTGAAAAGTTATGAACCCGATCCTGTACGAGTAATGTTGAACGTGAGATCTGTACAGCGTAGTCTAATTTGAACACATTTTTGGGGGCGAAGTGTTGAGGGCTAAGTCAGCAAACATAGTCCCATAAAAGACTTTTTTCCATGATAAATCGACACCAAAAAAAAAAAGTCGGCTTAATACAAGATTACCAAATCCAGCCACTTTTATTATTCGACCCAAATAAGAAACTAGCAATAAAATTAATTAGCTGTTAAATGAACTAATTAATTCGAAGAGAAAGGGGAAGCCACATTTTACTAATCTGATGCCAAAGCCATTCTACGCACACATAAACAGCTTATGTTCGAATTTAGATTCCTCAAGTCTGAGAGAAATTTGCGTAGTATTACCACGTGTTCTTGAACCAGACAAATCTCACCCCTACTTTTCCATGCCAAATCACCAAAAAAGGAGAGAATCAGTATAAAAAAATCACAGACTCCTGTTGCCAAAAATGACAGAGTTTCGTGGATGTCTTACGTGGAATCTTTTTCTTTTTTTAACACGATGACTTTTTCTCAACTTTTCTTGGAGAATAAATTTGATAATGAGGAGATAGATCGGGAGGAAAATTACCTAATCGTACCATCATAAGTGTAATACGATATGTATTGAATTTACACAAACCGTGATTAACCGGCATCTACGGTATTTTATCACGTACGTAGCATTGCGGGGATGTTGTGGGGTGCGTGTAGCACTGTTCGTACAGTACATATGCATGTGGTTTACATAATAGATAGCATTGTTATAACAAAATCTTTCGTATGCACACAGAAGAATTCATACGCATTGACGGAAGTTACATGTGATATGATAATTGTTATCAATACGCGCATTGAAAGAACGAACTAAGGTGCGTTTTGGTGTCACTTTTGTTTACAAAGAACTCGAAGATGATGATGTTATTGGTTCCGAAGGATCTTGATATCTCGACGAAAAGGGAATTATTGTTTATCGATGGGCAATTCCAAAATTTCATTTAGCATTTCTTGCCGGCACTTGATGCTAAAAGTTTAGCGAAATACAATCATTTTCCCAAATAAGCATGTTTTATTTATTTATTTTTTTAAATGAATATGAGCGCACACTAGACGTCAAAGGAAAGTATTTTGATTAAGGAATCATCTGGAGCAAGTGTATTGTACATCGTAAAGCGAGCATTTAGGTAATCGCAAACAATCAGCATTGGCGGGGCGGTGTCATTATTCTTCGCCTCCGCTCAGTGGTGCACTTTGGAGCTCTTCATTACTTCATACAAGTTGATTTTGGGTTTTTGGATTAAACACTTTGCCACTATCTATGGACGAATTTATAAACTTGTTCATCAATTTGCAGTCGGTCGGCTTTTCATTTTTCCTCTCGAAAACCAAACCAACAAGTTACACTTCAATAACATATTTGCAATGTTGAATATTCAAGTTAACATAATGATAAAAAAAAAAAAAAAAATAGGAAAAGCCACTACTCAAAAAAATACAGGTTCGTAACGGGTTTCTATAATAATGGAATGGTGTGACCGCACTATCTAAGCATATTCCGAGTGACAGGAGGTTACAATCAAAGCTATAGGTAATATCTGAGCTCGCACTAGGTTTTTAGAGTCAGTAACGCAATTCCGTGTCATAATATCACAAACAGTACTGTCCCTTGTACCCCACCATGCGCCATACTTTTGGGCGCAAATCCTTTTACTGTAAAACCAATATATAAGCACTATACAAACTGCAATTCGAAATTTTATGTGAACACCCTTTTTTCATGTTTTATGCTTCACTTGTTCTGCGTTCGACCCTAAACGTCACGCTTTAAATTCTCACAAAGGGTGAATCTGTTCACATTATAAAAGGAAAGAAATTATTGGTCCCTTATCTTTTGTCAAGTTGGAGAAAATGCCAGAAACCACAATGATATCAGCTTCACATTGGCTTGAGAATGCCATCGATCAGGAATATTTGAACTTTCATGATTTCGATAAATTCTCGGATCTCGTGCCAGTAGGAGACGGACCACTCGGCAAAGTATATCGCGCACAATGGCAGATTCGCGGTATGGTTGTGGCATTAAAAAGTTGGATTGATGAAACGAGCAAAGAGGAAAAACGGATATTGGATGAATTTATGAATGAGGTAAATACCAGATGTTGGAAAAGGTGCATTTTGTTTTTTAATAGATTATGAATGAAGGCTTGTTTTAACTTGCGACTCCATTATATTCTTTATAAAGCTAAAGATGCATCGAAAGGTTGACTACCATCCCAACATTTTAAGATTTTATGGGTTAAGCAAAGGTAATAATGGTTATTATATAACCTCTTTTATGTCTGTCCTTATCATAAAAACTATTCTCCATCATCTATACGTTCATCTTTTAATAATCTTAATTCTTATATTCTTTTCATCCCCAAAGACGTGTGCTCAAAAAAATACTTACTTGTCTTGGAGTATGCGGATGGAGGAACTCTTCGACAATACTTGAAACAAAATCATTCATCATTGACTTGGGCTGATAGAATAAATCTCGCAAGACAAGTGACCAGTGGTGTTGCGTGTTTACACGATAACGGTATTTTACTTGGGGACTTGGTAATTATATTTCTAAATTATCTTCCATTTTTGAATTCGTTACGTGAAATCTCAATTTTTTTTCTCCATCAATTTAACAGCACGCAAACAATATACTGGTTAAAGACGGTGCGATCAAAATTTCTGATATCAGCCTATCAAAACAGTTTTCTCGAATATCCGATGCGGTTTCAGGTGCCAAAGGCGACATTGCATACGTGGAACCACAGAATTTAAAGAGTTTGCAATATGAACCAAACGATAAATCTGACATTTATAGTATCGGTGTATTGTTATGGGAAATATCAAGTATGTATTTGTGAATTTGATTGAGTAGTGTGTAAACTTTAATATCTCCAAAATTCTCATTTTGTTTTTTTTTTTTAAAAAAAAAAAGGCGGACGACCACCATTTCAAACTTCCGCACCACCTACGGCTATGTCTCAAATCCAAATTGCTACGCGAATATCCAATGGAGAACGCGAAGAGCCAGTGAAGGACTCACCTTGTGAGTACGTCAAAATATATAGACAATGTTGGAGAGATGA